GGGTTTGCACGGCGCCGGGGGTGCGTGTCCAGGCGGGAGGCTGCGGGGGTGTGCGTGTGTCTGGACGTGTGTGTCGCTGCGTGTGTAGCTCCAGGAGTAGCTGCTCTCTGTAGGATTTCACTGCTCTGCTGAGGCGTTCCACCCGGGACTCAATTATTCATGGCGCTGATGCAGCTGCAGGTTTCAGGCCTGGCGTTCGGGGCCGACCCGGGGGGGGACCAGGGACTGTCCTCGGGCAGGGGACCACGGGGAAGCACTGGTGTGGCATCGGGTGGCTGAGCACGCAGCCCTTTCACCACTGCACCCCGCGTCTCTCCCACCGGGGCCCAGCGCTACCCAAACGTGGGCAGTGCCGTGTCTCCACAGCAGTGCGGGGCTGGTGCGGTGTCCCCTATCCTTGGTTGTGCAGGGATGTATCCTGGCCAAGCAAGGCTGGCGTGGCGTCCTCCCCATGTCCCCAGTGTCATGCAGGACCGGCGTGGTGTCCCTGGTGCCACACTGGACTGGCGTGATGTCCCTCGTATCCCCAGTGTCATGCAGGGCTGGTGTGGTGTCCCTGATGCTGTGCAGGGCTGGCCTGGTGGCCCCCATGTCCCCAGTGCTGTATGGGGCCTGGCGTGATGTCCCTTGTGTCCTGATGGTGTGCATGGCCAGCATGGTACCTCTCATGTCCCCAGTGCTGTGCAGGGCCTGGTATGGTGTCCCTGGTGCCATGCAGGGCTGGCGTGGTGTCCCTCATGTCTTGGTGTCATGCAGGGCCAGCATGGTTCCTCTCATGTCCCCTGTGCCACTTGGGGCTGGCATGGTGTCCCTGGTGCCACGCAGAGTTGGCGTGGTGTCCCCTGTGTTCTGGTGCTGTGCAGGGCTGGCGTGGCATCTCCCACATCCCTAGTGCCGATCAGGGCCTGACACGGTGCCCCAGTGCCACACAGGGCCTGTGGCATGATGTCCCTCCTGTCCTGGTGCCATGCAGTGCTGGTGTGGTGCCTCTTGTGTCCCCAGTGTCACACAGGGCCTGGCATGGTGTCCCTCGTGTCCTGGCGCCACACAGGCCCAGTGTGGTGGCCTCTGTGTCCCCAGTGCCATCATTGCTGTCACTGCCGAAAGCCTGTGCAGGGAGAGAAGGGGCTCCAACACTGAGCTCCCTTCATCCCAACCCTCTCCAGGCGCTGCCGTGGCCTCTTGGACCCGTGTGCGGGGCCGGGGACGCTGCCTGGCCTGTGCCCAGCGCTCTCCCCCTGCACACCCCTCTCCGATGGCTGGGGCGCACAGCTGGTGTTGCTGTGGCAACGGCCAGCGGTGCCGGAGTTCCACCACCTCCTCCCACATCCCTCTGCTTCCCAGCCCCGCTCTGCTTCACCTCCCACCGCAGAGACCCCTGGCCGCCGGGCACTGCCAGGCGGGATGGCCGCGGGGGCCACTGGTGCTCGCCGAGCCGGGGTCGTGAGCGAGGGACAAGGGACACGCAGCGAGGCCAAGCCTGGCATCTGGGAGATTCCCACTGAGGGCCTGGACACTTCCTCCGTGCCCCAGTGGGGCTGCAACATCTCCAGCTCTGCCGGACCCTGGTGTCGATGCCGGGCCGCTCTGGCACCGTTTCCCCATGGGACCCGGCTCTCCTGCGTGTGCGGCGGTGGGTGCTGTGCTCCCGGCCTGGGGTGCACGAACACCTCTGGCTGCTGCACAGGGTGGGAGAGCACTGAGCTGTCCCCATGCCGCCATGTCCCCCCGTCCCCTCTGTGTGCTGTTCCACGCGTGCCACCAGCGCTCCCTGCGCCACACGGCACCAGGAAGATTTGTAACTTAGCTCCGTTGTCTGGATAATATCCTATTCATGTGGGCTTTAATAAATGAGATTTTAAAAATCCCTGCGTGAATTAACACGGGTTGCTATGGTGACGTGGGGCCCAATTTAGCGTGTGGAGTACGAGTTTGTGGGGCCCGGGCCGGCCGCAGCGCGCACCGCGCTAGCTTCCCGGGCATCCATAATTGATGAGGTTGTCTGAAAGTTACGCAAATCAGATGCAGGGATTTGGCAGCAAACTGTTTCCCTCCCTGTCCCCTCCTCCCCGGTGCTACCTCGAAGAATTGTAGTGACTTGGCGTTTTCCCCTCTCTTCCCCTGCTCCAGCGCCATGGGACGGGACGACGTGTCCCCAGCAGCAGCTGTGGCCACCATCCCCATCCCGGGCAGCTGTGCTGTGTGGGGAAACTGCGGTTCCTCAGCCGAGGAGGAGCGAGCAGGCTCCATCCCTGTGAGGCTGGTGCCACTAGTGGCTCGTCCACTTTAGAAATGGCTTCTGTGTGGCACCCGCTAGTGCTGCAGGAGAGACCTCAAGCTCAGGACTGGGCCCTCCAGCCCAGGCTTGTCCTCTCACCGGGCTGGGGTCTTTGCAAAGTGCTTCCACGTGTGGTGTCTTCATATGGCAAAGGAGATATCCCAGCACATAGCCCATGGTGCTGAGCGAGCACCCGGTGTGCCCGCCCTGTGCCTGGTCCTTGGTGCCATCCTGGACCCCCAGGCTGCATCGGGGTTTGTGTCCTTGTGTGCCACTGGAGTACCTGGCTCTGAGATGCCCGGGGCTGGGGGAGCCCCGCTGCCTGGCTGGGTTTGGGAGCTGGGCACAGGACTGCCTGCACCCCACTATGGGTAATGCAGCCCAGCCTGCCCGGGGGTGCTGGTGCCGAGGTGCAGGCAGCTCTCGGGGTGCCCCTGCCCTGGGTGGGACAGCCCTGTTGCCTCCAGCGTGGAATTCTGCGTCCTGCCCCATGTCACTGGCAGCAGCCCCAGTATTTTGGTGCTTATCCCAGCCAGCCGTGACCCCACCACCATGCACAGGGAGTGGGTCCTGCCCTGCCTGGGGAGGGACCCCCCACCCCACTGGCACCACTGGTGCTGCCCTGGCCCCACAGCTGCCTCTGGCCCTGCTGCTCTGGGCTTGGGGCTGTGCGGGAT